AAGGAATAACCCCTTTGCAAAACCTGGACGCCATGCAGGGCTTCACAAATCCGAGGACATCCACGTGTCCAAGGATGCCATCCCAATCCGTAGATGCCTACATGTCCGAAGATGAAGGCTCGTCAGTCTGAGGACAAAGGCCATCTGTTCGAGGACGAAGGCGCCAGAAATTCAGCAAAGCCCGTCTCGATCCCCGTGGTCGACGGTACTGTACGGCCTCCGCAGCCTACGGCATTCCTATGGCCTGCGCGGTCTTGGAGCTTTTATAAGCCCGTCTCAATCCCCATGGTCGACGGCAATGTACGGCCTCCGTGGCCTACAACACTCCTATGGCCTCCGCGGTCTTGGAGCTTTTATAAGCCCGTCTCGATCCCCGTGGTCGACGGCACCGTGTTGCCTCCGCGGTCTACGGCACTCCTACGCCCTCCGCGGTCTTGGAGCTTTTATAAGCCCGTCTCGATCCCCGTGGTCGACGGCACCATGTGGCCTCCGCGGCCTATGGCACTCCTATGACCTCCGTGGTCTTAGTGCTTTTCTAAGTCTGTCTCGATCCCCATGGTCGACGGCACCGGGTGGCTTCCGCGGCCTACGATACTCCTATAGCCTCCGTAGGCCTTGATGCGTTGAAACCTGTCTTGCCTTCCAGAAGGCACGAGTTCAAAGGCAGATGCTACTTGACAGCCTGGAGGTGCTAGAAAGCCAGCCAGACCACTCCGACCTTCCGGAGACGATGGCCTGATACTGCCACACTTAATCAAGTACATGACATCTTTCTAAGATCTTTTGTAAATGTACCATGTTTTCTTCTGAAGATCTAGCATACATGTGAATTGTGCCAACCCAAATACTATAATGACATAACCCACCTAGCCCCAGCCGCTGATGGGCACTAATTACTCCTTGAAACTGTGTCGGTAAGCTTGTGGGTATGAAACTCATATGGTCTTGATTTGCCTTAGGGTTAGAAGCTCACGTGGCATTGATCAACCTTTGAGTTTCACACTCGTATGGGTTTGACTTGCCTTCGAGTTGAGCACTAACACGGTGTCGATTAGACTTGGAGTTATACGCTTCTACAGTTTAGATCCACCTGTGAGTCAACAGCCCCTTACGGCATCGGCCATCTTTTGAGTTTTATGCCCAATAAGCTTTCGTTCGCTTGTGGGTTACTTACACCCGTAGTCTCGATCAGCCCTAAACTTGGCCTAACTTCGTCCATGAGATCCTACTGCTTCCTTCCCAAGCAGGGGGGAGGGCTCCTAAGGTGGACGATGTCGCTTTTTATCGTGGCCTACCGGGGCAACAAGCATCAAGGCTGGGGGGAGGGGCAAAGAAGTTTAAATAACACCTGTACTTCAAAATCCTCTCAAACTTTTTCCATTATCATCACAAAAATGATAAAGTTTCATGTGATCATGTTCATTCAATCGAATGGTAACACAGTGAACATTAGAAAACTAACACGGACTCGACTAGTCTTCGGGTTAGAAACTCACGCGGCGTCGGTCAACCTTTGAGCTCTTAATCATACGATCCTAACTCGGCTTCGAATTATACGCTCTTACAATCTTGACCACCCTGAGTTAACAACCCTCACGGCCTCAATCAAGCCTCTTTATCTCATACTCTCTCGACTCTGGCTCTATCTTGAGAAAAGTACACACACGTACTTGATCAGCCTAGGGGTTGTACAAACTCTGTATTGGCTAAACACGGCCAAGGGACATTAATCACCTACGTAACACCAATAAAGTAATTAGCCAACTATACTCAAACACGTGTCTTATCTATGGAAGCAAGCTTATCCCAACAAGTACGCCGTCGACCCCAGTGGTCGATGGTGCTCTTGCGCCCCTTGGGCCGCGGAGCTCTCTCAAAATTGTGCAAACCCCGTTGTTGATGGCACCTATTGCTCTTGGGGCTTACAACTTCTTTATTACACTGAAATGTTATACAAGTTTCGTAAGCCCATACACAAAAAACATGCTTCTAAAATGTTTCTAAATATAAAACTTGGGGGGAAGGGACGATCGCTATCCTCTAAACATCTAACAAAGGTTTTATATATATGAAACGATAGGCGCGTACATAAACAATCAAATATCATAACAATGTATTCAAGGACGGAGCAAACAAGTGAAAGGAAATAAAAGGTAAGGAAGTGGAGTTATTTTTTCAAAATAATCCATTCTATTCTATCACTTCCTACGAATACACTTGCCCTGGTCACTAAAGCCGGACCTACTCCCGATTAGGATGACCCTCGTCCTAACTCATGAAAGAACTTGGTTGTACCCACCACTCAGCCTCGCATATAGCTGATCCGGGGTCGACCCACATTCGGGGTAAGGTCCGGGCCATTAGGATCAAAAGTCGTATTCCTTACCTCTTTCCACGATAAAATAGGTAGAGTCTGTTAAAGCCAACTGCAACAAACCAGTGAATGCTCGAAGCAACGATATTCTGTCAAAGACTCCATCCCACTTCACGGCAACCAATGCTTAAGCCCGCCGAGGGCGAATCAGAATGCTTTCATAGCAGTTAAATGGGATGAAGTCTTCAGAGTCAGGTTCTGCCTATCCAGGCGCCCATTTTCCGCCTGTTTTCTAAGCACCATATTAAGTCTTCAGCACCATTGGCACCCCTTTACTTGAGTGACCTTCATATTACCAGGCGGTGGCAATACCTTTCATTCTCTCAACTCTCGCCCCCCGAGAGAGAAAGCAATTCTTATTAATGTATCCTTCAGGTCGAGTCATAATCCCTGATGATGCATTGTTGACTTCACACGAATTTAACGATAGTCTTCGATGGCGCTATTCGGACAACACTGTGTTAGACTCCGTCGCCATCTCTCTTATCAAAGCGTGACTTCTTCTCAAGAGTCTATATATATATATATATATGTGTGTGTGTGTGTGTTACTCGGCTTCAACGACCAATGTTGCGCTAATCTTCCCGGCTCAGTCCATTATGACGTAGGTCAATGTGGGAGTCTGTTTATTAACTCGTCTAAAGTTAGGATAAGACTCTTCCTGTTTACCTGCGCTTGTGAATGTTTTTCTACCTTCGAAGATGAAAGGGGCAACCTGTTTGCCCCACCTTTTTCGAGTACGAATATACACTGATTATTCGTCTCGACAACATCCCTAGGCTTACTGCAGGCCGCTGAGATTTATGTCTTCTCAACGACGCCCCTCGTTCCGTCCGATCGCTTACACGCTTGTCCAAGGGTACTGGCAGGAGGATTACTCCTCTTCGCTTATCTGTTGATTATCGCGAGTGTCCTTTTCCGAAAACATCATACGGGGGCAACTTCTTAGCTCTAATCACCTCTCCTGACGGTTGAACCTACCTACTGACTATTGACGTTTCGATGATCATCGTACGCCTCTTCACTTATCATCAGGTTTCACATCTTGCTCACGGAACGTCCGTGACGCCTTCGGCCTTTATTGAGCCATTGCTGTTGGTTTTCGTCACTTGACGACTTAAACAGCGTCGGCTTATTCTAAAGTAAACTTTTGACTCCTCGTTGGTCGTCTTCAGCTAATGATAACCTAACTCAGTCCGATGGTCCGTCATGATCCACTTTTCATTGTCTCCACCTATGTCTTCGAAGCTTCGGACCTCTTTTGTGTCCGTGAGGGACCACGGATGCCCTTACTATGTTATCCGACGTATCGGACAACGTCGGACTCCAAACTCATGCTCTTAAGCAACTAGTAATTCGATGATGATTTCCCTCGGTCTACCCTGTGCCTACACGGGTTGTAATTAACTTACATCGTGTCTATAGAAACCATTTGGCCTTCCTTGGGCCATCATTATTAGCTTTGGTTACTCGGCTACTTCATTAGCCTTGGTTTATCTCCAGCGAGCTTTTAGCTCCTCGGACGTTCATCCTCCTCTATTGACATTCAGATAACGTTCTTCTACCGAGTCAGTCAATGCTGTGTCTCGGGTTCAGACACAAGGCCGGGTTAACCTTCGATCGAACTTTTCCTTACCCGTTGTTGACCAATCACGCAGCAGTTACAAACTTCTTTCTATCATGCCCTAACGAGGTCTAACCACGTTGTTGTTCCAACCTATCACGTGCCGTCACAAGCTTTGACGTCACCTCTCCGAGAAGAATTCTTTGTCACATTCTTTCTTTCGTGACCTCTTTGTTGGATCGAGAATAAAATCATCAAACAATTTGCGCCCGCACAAGTGGCACACTCGGTTTCAGCTTATCTCTGGGCATGTTCGGTAATCAAATGTGACGGTTCCCTCGACAAGGGTTCGACGTGACAATGTTTTGCACTCTAATTACAGTTACCTGTTATTACTCTTCATCCATCACGAAGGGTTATGGGTTTATCCGATCAGGTGGACCCTTGAATGGACGGATCCCCCGCGAGTCTGCACTACAGCTCCATGTTATTATTTGCTAAGTATTGTATTTTAACCCTGTTATTGCATATATGTGCTCCTCTACTAACACTTGGTAGGGGCATTTGTTGGAGGTGCAATTTCGCTTGGGCCGACAACCATTCATGAGTCCGATGAATATTCCGTTATGGCTTATTGGGCCAGCTAAAAGCCCTAACAATGGTCCAAGCCCATCATTGAAAGGAATATTCTCTATCCTTATCTCTATATATATCCCATTTTTGGTGGTGAAGAAGGAAGTCACTTTCACTCCCTTCCTAGCTCATATGCTTTATTTCTATCACTCCTTAGACTGACTCGCTCGTCAGAGTGCTAACCCTTGTTTTGCAGGTCTCAGGTCCATAGACACCGTTGACCCTCGTCCTAACGGATTTCACCCTCGACAGTACCATGTCGGAATCAGTCAAAATAAATTTATTAATAATGAAGTAATTAGAGTACTATTGTCAGAAGGGGGAAAAAGACCCTACTACGTGTTATGCTGGGCATTCAAGTACAGTTGACATAACTATACTCAATTTCTTTCCACAAATAAGTTGAACTAAAATGCTATATAAACCCCAAGCAAACACAACGAAAGTAAGGTCCCATTCCCATTTCAATTTCAAATTTCTTAGTTTTCTGTCTATATCCCCACCGCAAAAAGCATTTTCATGGCTAATTGCAACACTTTCACGGCAATAATTTTGTTTTTAACGTTAGCAACGGTTGGAAAAACTCAACCTGTTCCCCCTCAACGTCAACCAATACTACTACAACGAATTCCAACCCCAACTGGCACCGTCGGGCCTGAGACCATAAAGTTCGACCGCTCTGGTGCCGGTCCATATACCGGCGTTTCTGACGGACGCATTGTCAGGTGGAATTCCACCCAAAACCGCTGGATCAACTTCGCGGTCACGACCCCAAATCGAACGGGCTGTGAAGGCCCGTTCGACCATACCCTGACCGAGTCAAGATGCGGGAGACCATTGGGTCTGAGTTTCAACCAGAAAACCCGCGAGCTCTACATGGCGGATGCATACTTCGGCCTCCTCAAAGTCGGGCCGAATGGAGGGGTGGCCCGACAACTCGCATCAGCAGCCCAAGGGAAACGATTCGGCTTTACAAACGCCGTCGTGGTTGATCAGAACACCGGAATCGTATACTTCACGGATAGTAGTGCTAGATTTCCAAGACCGTTATTTCCATTAATAATCGCCACAAGAGATGACACTGGAAGGCTATTGAAGTTTGATCCAAAGACAAATGCAGTAACCGTTCTCGCAAACAAACTGATGTTCCCAAATGGGGTGGCTTTAACCAGAAATGGAGAATTCTTGTTAGTCGCGGAAACCACTAATAACCGAATATTGAAATACAGGCTAAAAAGTTCGGGACCCGGGAACCCGGTTGGGAGGATCGGAGTATTCGCGAAATTACCCGGACAACCGGATAATATCAATAGGAACAAAGATGGTGGATTTTGGGTTGCACTGATTTCAAGTGTGGTTCCAAATTACACTGGATTAGGGTTAGCTGCTAGACTGGATCGAAATGGAAAAGTTGTTGAGATTTTACGGGATCAATTTGGAACAAGATTTAAGGCTGCAAGCGACGTGCTCGAAAACCGTGGATCTTTGTGGGTGGGTTCTTCAACGGAACCTGCAGTTGTCAGATTGGCAGCATAGAATCTTCTATATATAAACTATGATAGTATATAAATAAAGATACAATTTGTGTATTGTATTTGATTTGTGGTCTATAAGGCCAGCCCTATATAATGGCATTTGATTTGAAATAAGAAATCGAGCATGCTTTATGCATGACACTCTCTTTGTATCGAAATAACACTATGATCCTGTTATAAATTTTAAGGGTATGATCTGTTATTTGATTTACAGTCGTTAAATTAGTTTGAATTAATCATAAAATGATAAAATAATCCGAAAATTCATACAGGCATCTCGTTAAAGTTTAAACTTATTTATGGTATAAATTTTAATTGGAGTCTTCTTCTCCTCCCTTGAGCATCAAACATACATTTTTTTTTCTTCTCCTCTCTCTTTTTTTCTTCTCCTTTCAAGTGTCGGGCTGTTCTTGTAGTTCAAAGCCTGAACGGTTTTCCCGCAGAGCGCAATGCTGATTGCCTTTTTTTTGGTCAATTTTTTTTTTTTTTTTTTGGCTCGAATGATCGGCTTTTCAATTTACTGCAATTTTGATTGTGCAAGATTTTCTTTTCACTAGTTTGAGTTTTTCTTTATTTTTGCCTTAAGCATCTGAGAGAAAAGAAAATGGAAGATGAAATTTTGAAGAGTCCATCTATTATAGTTTGTTCTGCTATTGAAATTTACTCCGTCAATCTTATGCTTATACTGGTGGAAAAGGAGGACATGTCGTGGTTGTTAAAATTTTCTAATTTGAGGATTTTGGTGGTTTATACGCAGTTGTAAGAGCTTCAAATTTCAGGCGTGATAATTGTTCAACAAAAGATCTAAACAACTAGCCTCTAAGTAAATCGTCATGTTCATTGCGACAGCCATAAAAGTGTTTTTTTTTAAAAAAAAAAAAAAATAGAAATGGAGCCATAAAAATTTAGGCTACTTTTTATTTGTAGAAAAAAGCAAATAATCATCAGACAAAATTTTTGCCCTTCTTACCATTGAGAGAAAAAAAAAATTATCCTCCGCAATTAGACTTGACTACCAATTTCATGGTTCTCAAAGAAATTCTCTAGCAACCGGCCGTAATACCAATTAAGAAAACCAGAAAAGGTTCATCAGTTAAAACTTAAATGTAAATTAGCAACCTGTATGAATTTTGACAAACATGAAAATTTCGATAAATATCCAAACAGTTGAATGGCTGTTGGTTGTGGGCATTTTGTATTATAATGACCAATTTGCTTGAAATATTAGCGATTTATATAGTACAGGTGAATGACCAATTTTTTTCATGTTGCTGCTAGTGAAAGTGCAATCTAGTCCATCCATTCTAAAATATATGTCCTTTTAGAGTTTCTAAAATATTTTAAAATATATATGGTTTTGGAAAATTGATGCTAACGTTTATCCTATTTTCTTCCACCATTTATGTGTTATTGGGTGAAACATTCATGCAAAAGAGATCAGCAAAGAGGGCATTGCATTAGGAATGTTGCTGCTAGTGAAAGTGCAATCTAGTCCATCCATTCTAAAATATATGTCCTTTTAGAGTTTCTAAAATATTTTAAAATATATATGGTTTTGGAAAATTGATGCTAACGTTTATCCTATTTTCTTCCACCATTTATGTGTTATTGGGTGAAACATTCATGCAAAAGAGATCAGCAAAGAGGGCATTGCATTAGGAACACCTGAGAAAATAATATAATAAAAGAGCTATAATCTTGGCTGACCTAATTATCTAGTTGTTCGGTTTCAACAGTCCTAGCCCCGAACAAATTTAGCCAAACCAAATTAATCTATGAACTTTTGAACTCACTACAATAATCATATTAAAAGAAAATAAGTTTGTGGGAAAAAATACGCGTGTCAAGCTCCTCCTTACCCGCTTCTCACCAAAAGTTTTTAGTACATAAATCTTTGAAGCATTAATTGTTAAACTTCATATATGGAAACAATCACAATTTATGGATAAATTTGATTACTTAAAAAATGAATCACAAATTAGTTATTATTTATTCAATGATTTGACCAAGACATGTAAACTTTATTTGAAATGATTAGAAAATGATCAAAAAATAATAATTATTGTAGAACGTGGACGTTTTATCCACAATTATTTGGCTTAAATAAATTAAGAAAATATCACAAATTATTGTTAATTTTTACTTTGATTTGAGCGAGATTTGGAAGATTTTTTATAATCAATCTCAAAATAATTAGTGAATGATATTATAATTAAATGTGGATGATTTTTCCTTACATATTCGGTTTTACAAAAATGGTAAAGAATTACAAATTATTGATTATACATTTATTGATTGATTTAAAGTAAAATATTATTTAAATTCCACACCCCTCTCCTCCTATATACACTCGTTCACAATATCGTTATTCTTATTCTCTGCTTAATATAGGTTAGAATTATGTGATTCAAAATTTACTAGTTTTTTTTGTGCCCCTCTGTATTTCAATTTTTCTTTTAAAATATTGGTTTTGGTTGAAGGCGATAAAAATGGTCACTGAATGTCATCAGTATGGCTACTAATTTCTTTATTTATATTGTGTAAATCTTCCCAAAAAATAGTTTTCAAAATCTAATTTGCAAGTTATGTTCACTTATGTAAATTATCTCAAAACATGGCTTGGAAAATATAATTTGTGAGTTATGTTTAGATTGTGTAATTCTCCCAAAATGTGACTTGCAAAATCTAATTTGCAGGTTAATTATGTTCGCTAATGTAAATTATCGATCTCATGGTTCGCAAAATATTCTTTGTAAGTTATGTTTATATTGTTTAAATTATTCCAAAACGTGGGCTGCAAAATCTGATTTGCAGGTTATGTTAACTTTTTTTTTTAAGTAAACTCTAACTCTATCCCAATACTTGGTTTGCTAGACAATAGCAAATTTTGTTCATATGATGTCTCACTTTTACAATTATTATTAATTCTTCCTATTTTAATGAAATACATTTTTTACTATATTTACTTATGTACATGGCTTCTAAAAACTAATTTGAAAGTTATGTTAAGTATTTGAAATTCCTAAAGCATTGCTTGCAAAAATACATTTGCAAGTTTTGTTCACTTTTTCGAGTTATCCAAAATTTACAAGTTATATATAATTAGTTTCCTCAAATCTTCCAAAACATATAAGTACTTTTTCTATTACTATTATGCAAGCCATATTAGAATTTGAAACTAACATATTCATTTTTTAATTTTTCTTTAAACAAATTGTGTTTTGGAACCATTTCCTTTACCCAAAACATGGTTTGGAAAATTTAATTTGTAAATTATGCTCTCTTTTGTAAGTTTTTCCAAAATATGGCTTGCAAAATCTAATTTACTAACTATGATCTCTTAAGTTTTCCCAAAAAAATGATTTGCAGAAACCAATTCAAAGATTTTATGTAGAAAAGGGGAAAATTGAAAGTAATATTCAATTTGTTACACATATTTATCCTCTCTTTTTTACTCTATTATTATTCTTATTCACTGATAAATAAATACGCTCGGACAATACCTAGTAACAAATTAAAACACTTCTCAAAATTCCCCTCATATGTAGCATTGAAAATCATTAGGGAAAATTTGGCTTACGGGCACTAGAACTGGTCAAATTAATAAAAGGGGTATGACTTTAAAATATTTTTTTATAAAGGGCGGTAAATTATTTATCTTAAATCATAAAATAAAAAAAACTTCAATTGACAATAACACCCTTGTGAATTGGTCAGATCTCTATTATCCAAATAATAAAACGAAAACGAATCCAGGAACATATCGGCGTCGAACTCCGGTCTCTTTTCTGCTTTGTCGTCGTGATTGAAACATCTCACATCCATCACTGTCGATCCGGCTACCTTGTGCGGTTTTCCAGTTACTTAGGCATCATACGCCAGCAATTTTCTCAAATTCCAAGCTCAGCCTTGAGTTTGGAACAACCAGAACATTTATGAGTTATGACTAGGTCTGCCCTTTCTCGCGAACAATTGCGAGTTTGCGACCCTCACTACCAGTTACTAGTCCCGCGTTGGTCTAATGCATCAATTGCATAAATCCTGTGCGAATTTGGCTCCCTGCGAGTTCAAGTGGTGGATTGACTCTCATATCAGACCCTCGAGAAACAGAATTCAGAGGCACGTACACCCACGCATGAAGTTCCAAGTAGTCTAAAAATGATGTGCGAGTATCGCCATTGCAGTCGCGTGTATCCTTATATGTTTGATAACCATTTTTGTTTGCCCCCAATTTGTTTGAAATCAAGGTGTGAACTAAAATTGAGCCTGCATCGAAGTATCAACGGGTTATCTCCACAGTTTTGATGAGTATTGGTATTGCAATTGTCTCTTGGATTGCTCTCCCATCCTCCTTCGCTATATTCAACCTTGGGGATGCTAAGATAATAAGATTGGCTCTCAAAATTTCAAAATCCGATATAAATCTTCAAGGTTTCAACATTCGAACACTTCAAATTCAAAATCAAATGGATATATATATATATATTTCAAACTATTTTCATACTAAAACCGAACTCCTTAAATACTTGCAAAAATCTGATTTCGAGATCAGCTCTCTATTTATGAGTAAGACCCTTTGTCACGAGGCCTGATTTGCTATTTTGAGCAGAGATCTGGTTTCGATAGGCGGAGATGAGGAAGAATGAAGAGATGGAGGATTGGATTTTGGCTTTTGTTTTATTTTTTATAAAAATTATAAGGTTGATACTATCAATTCAAAATAATTATTTTTATAATTCTTTACAAATAATTTATCGTCTTTTATAAAAAAATATTTTAAAGTCATACTCTTTTATTAACTTGACTAGTTATACTGCCCTTAGGCCAAATTTTCCCAAATCGTTAAACCCTGAAAATTCACAAAACAATTTTCAAAGCATCGGCTATATAAACCCGGGGTATCCTTTCCAAAAAAAAAACAAAAAAAAAAAAAAACTGGGGTATTTCCATAGCAGAATCAACACATGAATTGCTCGAAACAATAGATGATGAAGTTACCTCTCTTTCTTTGACACAGAATGCAACACTCAGCATAAGGAAAGAAACATTAAAACCCTAAAATTAACACCAAATTTAAACAATCAAGAGAAAGGAATAGCCAAAAAAAAAAAAACAGAATACATTAAGTCGATATCATAACAGAATGAGCACCTCCAACCAAGAAAAAATTAAAAGAAAAAGGACATATTGAACCCAAGTTTTCACAAAAAAAAAAGGTACCAAAAATCTAAACGTTGGCAGTTCTATTAAATTAGTCCAAAAATCCTTGTGTTGAAATTGAAAATGTAATCACAATAGCGAAGACGAAAATTCAAATCTTTTGACTTCCTAGGACTAAACACCAAGTCTCTATACAAAACTCCATATGGATAAAATCCACATAAACAAATATGGCCTTCAACCTAAGAAATGAAATTTACTCCAAAACGAAACAAACCAGAAACGATCACAACAAGTAAACCAGATAAATTTAGTTACCTCTATATTAATCAAAAGTGGCTTAATCATATTAGGGGATCAATATCTTATTAAAATTTGAGCTTACAATTGGATGCGAGAAGCATGCTTTAAATAATATCAATACCCGTTTCAAACTATAGTGAAAGGCCTCGCAGACTGCCTAGCAAGAAAAGGAAAAATTAATCTGAGATCAACGAAACAGACCCAAGCTTTGCATCCACACAATAACCCAACAGAAAAAACACACTGAATATCACAATGAAGAACTAAGGGGGAAAAAAAATACTACTCCTCCCATTTCAAAATGTAAGTCTTTTTAGCTTCTACACATAAATTAGGGAAACAATCATTTAATGATTAATTTGTGTATTAAATATTTATTTTGTCCTTCATTAATTGTTTTGAAACTATAACCAAAACTAGATGAAAGGTGGTTAACATCATTTATTAAGGGTAAAGTTGGAAAGGTAATCTATAATTTGCCTTGAAATCCTAAAACGACCTATATTTTGAAATATTTCTCCAAACCTAAAACGACCCACATTTTGAAATGGAGGGAGTAGTAAGCCAAAATAAAAAATAAAAAGAAAACAAAAAATAAAAAAATAATGGCCACTGATTTATTAGAAACTTTCCCGAGAAAAATTACAACTTTATTACAAAAGACATTGATGGTTCTAACATTTCCATCGTATGTTGCAGTTAGTACAGGTTACAAAAGTAGTCATTGGCTCATCGGCGCCTCGACTCTGCAACTGGTGATAAGTTGTCTCTCTTTTCTTGCATCTGCCGCATTGGAACGCGCCGTTGCTCGCCTTTTCCGGAGCTCCTCGTTCGTTTTTTAAACAAAGCTTTCTCCTTAACAGTGACGGAACGAGAATTTTCAAATCGCGGGGTCAAAAATAAGATTATTCAACCATCATCGGAGGGTCGAACTAAAAAAATTTCAAATAACGGACACCCTATTAAAAAAAAATTTGGCCAAATCCGGCAGGCCGGGGTCGATCGACCACCCTGACCCCCCTTGAATCCGTCACTGCTCCTTAATCTCCTCGTTCAACTTTTTCCTCTCATCACTTGCCATTTCCTCAGGTCTCAAGTCGGCGATGGACACCGGAGAAAACCGCTGCAGAAGCACGTTCCGGCGAAAAATCCTTGTTTTTCGGGTCCTTGATATTGAACACCACCGACCTATATCTCTCTTTCTTTGGTCCGTTGAAAAAACCCCATTTGGAAAACAACACAGATTCAACCTCAGTAGCCACACAATGAGGATCATATGAATCTACAACCTCCTTAAGTCCGTCGTCGTCTACTTTGCTCAATCCCTCTGCTAGAAGCTCCCTGATTTGGTCTCTATTTTTGTCCTTGATTGAAGGTAGACAAGTCAGTTTCCGTGGAGCTGATTTCTTTGAACCATAGTAGAACTGGACTTTCTACTTTACAAGTTTAATTTTGACCTTCCGGATCTTCTTCTTATTAGAACCGTCGCCTAATTTGATGGATTTTACAATTCGAACCTTCTTTGCCTTACCAGAATCTCCACTGGGACGTTTCCTTTTAAGAGAAAGAAAACCTGGTTTTCAATGGCCGCATTCTTTTTGTTATGAACTGTTTCTTTAACTATGGTGGCTTTCCATAACTCAAGAACATCAGAAGATAGACTGAATCTTCTTTCTTGGATGCTTAATCAGTTGCCGGAGACGTTTTGCAACTTGGGTTGTGAAGTGGATGTCATAATTGATTGGAAGGCCCTTGAGCCGCCTGAGAGAATCAATACACCGATCCTCCGCCGCTGAGGAATCAACTCCGACTTCACCCGCGGCGGCTGCGTCCGCCGCTTTCTTTGCTCTCTCAAAGAGGGCCACCAATACTTTCTCCATTGGCCTTAGCTATGTAAAGCTAGTACTACGCTAAAGAGTCAGAGGGAACAGAAAACCTAGTTTTTCTGGTACAAATACCGCAGCTAAAGAACAAACAATACTTCAGGTCAAAAAGAACGAAGCATCATCCAATCCACTTTAGTAGTACTATATATAGAGTTTTGTAACGTATCCTTTTTTATTTTGGAATAGGAATACATAAAAAGGAAAAGGCAATTGCCAAATACTACGATTTTTTTTTTTTTGGTTAAAATGTAAAGTGTATTGACCAAAAACCTTCACAAGTTCCTGCATTTGTACATCATCCTGCCATCTATTCACTATGATCTATACTATGTACAGAATAAATTGATCCCTAACTTGCTCAATTCTTTCTTTTCAGCATTTTTGCCTTTTTACACAAACTGCTAACTCTCAATCTGATCTCACTTTTTATCATCTCTATTCTATCATTTGCTGATATACATTTTGCTCCAAAGCGCCTTGCATTCCATTCCATCCACACATGGTATATTACAGCATTAACAGCAGCATGTAACAAATCACGTTTCAACTTTTTGAACCTCTATATTCTCAGCAGGTGGCTCTTCTTCAATTCAGTGATAACACTGTGGAAACCAAGCCAGGTTATGATTCTCTCCATAAGCTCTTTTGCATATTGGCAGCTGAAGAACAAATGATCACAAGACTTATCTTGACTACCACATAACTTGCATTGCTGATCCTGGATATTGACATTCATGTGCAACAACCTTTCTGATGTTAACAGTCAATTCCTCTAGGCTAACAAACTAATAAAAGAGTGCTTTGGTACATTGTATTTGGACCAGATGATCTTTGCCTCTGCCATTGTAGTTCCTGGTCCTTTAAGCCATATATAACCACTTGTTGGTGTATACCTCTTTTCCTTTCCCAGCCATGTATCATTCTGTACTCTATGCTTGAGATCATCCCTGATCTTTAACAGCTTTTTCTAGTGCCAGCTACTATCTCTTGGCTGTTTGTAATCTCATATTGATTGTTGCTTTATGAAGTAGATATGTATCCACTTGACTCATAGACTCTCTTTCTTGCTTGCTAAATCCCATAATTGTTTTCCCATCAATACCTGGTTCCAAAGACTTGGACCTTTAATGTTTAATCCCCCCTTAGTTCTTCTTCTGCACACATCATTCCATGCAACTGGAGCCAAGCTTCTGCCATTCTCTTTTTTCCCCCATAAGAAGTTTCTACAACACCTGATGATCTGTTGTATAGTACTTTGTGAGATTAGAAAGATACCTGCCCAATAAGAGTGCAAACTTAGCAGTACTGAGTTAATCAACACAACCCTCCCCGCATATGAAAGATGTCTAGTTGCCTAGCATTTCTGCCTTGCTGTGATTTTTTCCAACAAAACTTGACAATCTCCTTTACTCCATGTTGTTGGAGAGATTGGGAGGCCTAAATACTTCATTCGGAAGCAGCCTTGTTTAAACTGAACAATGTTTCTGAGTTGATCTTGCAGTTCCATGGAACATCCACCAAAGTATATTTGATTTCAACTTGTAGCCCTGTTGTTTCAGCAAATCCATCCAAAACTTCTTTAACCTTCTTGATTGTTTGTGATTCAGCTCTACTGAAGATTAGGAGATCATCAGCAAAACTTAGTGAAATGATCTTCAGTTTATCACATTGGGGATGAAACCTTATTTCTCCATTTCCTGCTGCCACCTTGAATTGTCTTGTTAAGTATTCAACTACCAACACAAACAGCAACAGAGATAATGGATCTCCTTGCCTAAGCCCCCTCCTTCATAGAAAGAGTCTTGTGCTATTTCCATTTAGGTTAATGGAGTAGCTGCAAGTTGTAATACATGCTAGAATACAGTTTATGAACCTTCTGGGAAAACCATTTGCTACCAGCATCTCTTCTATAAAATTCCAATGGACATAATCAAAAGCCTTCCTTAGAAACTTTCATAACACAGCTTGGAGGTGTATTCTTCCTGCCATAAAGCCTGATCAGCTCCTGAGTTAACAGAAAATTATGCATTATGTTCCTTTCTCTGACAAAAGCCCCTTGATTTAGATCAACAAGATCAGGCAACATATCCTGCTGATAACACAAAAATATATACCCTTTTTTGCAGGCATTTCTTATTCATTTCTACTTATAATTTAGTGTTAATTAGTTAGGATTAGTTTACTTTTAGGGTGATTTTGCAGTTCAGGTATCGCAGAGGGTCAATGTGGAAAATTAGCATAAATGAGGGCCAAATTGCACAAAAGGCATCAAAATATACTGGAATGGAAGCTGCTGGAAATTGAGCTGCTGAAGGACTCATCGAAGCTGAAGCAAGTGGAGAAATCCTTGCTAAGGAAAGAAGAATGACAGCAGATGAACACAACTTGGAAGAATCTGCTGCAGTACACTCAATTGAGAGGAATAATGGCAGCTGCTCTGCTGCCAAGTTACTGCTGCAGTTGCTGCTACTGCTGTCAATCAGGAAGAGCCAAGGCCAAATTCTTGCTGCCAAAGGAAGGAATTACTTTGCCATCACTGCAAGTTAAAGAAGAGAAAGAGGGAGAATATGTGGAAAACAACAGCTACAACCTGCTACTTACCTACTGTGACTGTTGCTACTGAACTGATGAATTGGCTGCTGCAGTCAGATGAAAAATGGTGTTGCAAGTGATCACAGGAAGCACGGAAGGACAAAGCAGACAGATTTGGGCTGAATTGGGGGCTAAGACACAATGATGGAAGGAAGCATGCTGCTGATGCTGCTGCTTGCTACTGCTGCTAGTTGGGCTGCTGAGGAATAAAGAATGAAGAAATAGAGATTTGTGGCTACAAATGGTGGCAAGGAACCAGAGAAGAAGACTAAGAAGAAGCAGCAATGATGAGTAAAAGATGGCTGATTACGGGTGAAGAAAGAATGAGCTACCAAGAGAAGGCAATTGGACAAGTTGCTGAATAAACAAATGCCTTTGGCTGCTGCAACTTGCTGTCTCCTTTGCTTTGCTGAACAGAAGGCCAGAACTCCACCAATCCAAGCCTCTCCAAATCTCTATAAATAGTCAGCCAATAGCAGTTTGAAAAACAACAGATTGGGTAGTTAGATTTAGTCCAAAAGACAGTAGTTAGGTAGTTAGTTAGTTGGTTAGAAACATGGTAGTAGCAGGAACAAGGCAGACTGTCACTCTGTCAAGTGGCGAACGCCACTCGCCATAGTGAACAGATAGAAACTGTACCTACTACCATCTTCACTTTCTTTCCTCTAACCTTTTGATTGGATTTATGTCTTATCTTTTGTACTTGGTTGCTCTCATGTTTAACTCAATAAGCATGAGTAGTTAACTCAGTTAAGGGTTCAATCCCTACTATCTTTATGTGAAGGTTTTTATTCAGTTTCTTTGATGAGATGTTGTGCCTAGATAAGTGATTTAATTAACTTTAATTAACTTGGCCACTTAATTAAATGTGCTTGCCTGGTTATGAAGATCTAGAAGGGGAAGCATAACCTTAGAACTGCTTAATCTAGTCTATAACGATGGAGGAAATCTACCCTGGGATTCCAGACGTCAATGGAAGTTCGGTGAATGACATAGGCGATCATAAAGGGCTTAAGAACTCAATAGCTTAGATTAAAGAACACTCTGACTGGGTTGATAATCTAGGACTCTTTATTCTATCTGGAAGGAATTATAAAGATACATAAGTGCTTGATTGAACAATTAATCATACATAACAGGAATATTCGAATCAAAACTAGATCATAAAGGTAGGAAGGTGATTGACCCTTCTGCCTCTTCACTCTGACAAGTGACTATTCTCACTCTCCCAAGTGACAGTCTGTTCAACTGCTTTCTTTCTTTTTGTGTACGTTAATCAGATTTTGAGCGGTTGACTGCCGTCCCTGTGGAACGATCCTGCTTACCACTAGCTAATAGTTTTAAGTAGGTTTATATATTATTCTTTTGGGAAGTGGATCAACGACACTACACAAATCCATCCACCACCTGTAACCTTGCACTCAACGTTTTAGAAATGCATTTATACAAGGTATTGCAACAAAAGATTGGCCTATACTCTGTAGCATCTTTTGGCACTGCGTTTTTAGGAATCAAGGAAATGAGAGTGGAATTTAATTGCTTCAACAACTTCCCTGTATGAAAGAATTCAAGAATGGTATCACTGACTTCATCACCTATAGTTTTCCATGCTGCTTTGTAAAAACCACTGTTGTACCCACCTGAACCAACACTCTTGATGATGTCTATACTGAACAAAGCTCTCTCCACATCAGCCTTGGTGAAGTTTTTAGTCATGAGAACCTGCTTATGTACAGTCAGTTTGGTCCCTGACTGAAAAATTTCAGTATTGGCTGGTGTTCTAATTGCTTATGTTCCAAGGAGCTTTCCATATTAATTGATAAAGTGCTGTTTCACTTGATCCCAATCCTCCGCAAGCTCATTATTTGATTGATGGAAGATCTGATTTTGCTTCTGCTCTTCCTTTGCTTCAAAGCTGCATGGAAATACTTTGAGTTTATGTCTCCTTCTACAACCCATCTTTCTTTCAACTTTTGCTTCTAAAATATCATGGCTACTTTTGTGGCTTTTACGTGATTTCCATTATCATTTTCTCCTGTTGTTGAAGCTGCTCATTTTGTGGTTCATTCATCAATTTGCATTGGACATCCTCTAATCTCAACTTCCATTCTTTTGCCTGCTCAACTATACAGCTGTACTCTTCTCTATTCAACTCTTTAAGTTTTTATTTAAGTACCTTTTGTTTCCTGACACTATATTGCCTACTGCCATTGATTTCCAAGTTCCATATAGCTTTAAGAGTCTCCTGGAACTGAGAGTGTTGAGTTCACATGTTAAAGAACTTGAAAGATTTTTTGACTTGCTGAATGGTTTCTCCCCATCTGACTATCTGTGGATTGTGATCTGAAATGCCAGTAGGATTTACTACCACATAAGCTTCTTGATACTCCTGCAACCACTCT